AGAAAAAGCCTGTGCTTGCAAAACTCTAAAGAACTTTGGGGGACAGGCTTGGGTTTGGGAAGCCCTGGTAGGCTAACAGGAAGCCTACAGCAGGGCTTGTGTGTTTTTTTTGACAATTCCAAATCACAGTCAGGGAAGTAGCAGCAGGGAAATGAAGATGACTGATGACTGATTCAGACTTGGTGCTGACTTTTCCCTATGTCCTATTGATTGGATTCTGGCTCTTAGGAGGCCCCCTGAAGGGCAGAGCAGTGGCTCCAAGAAACCTTCAAGGAAAGATCCTTACTGGCTTTGGCCTGAGCACAATGTCTGCAGTGCTGGTGCTCCCAGGGTTCTCAGCATCCAGCTTGGGACCACTGACTGATGCCTGGACCACTGCAGCTTAATTCTGAGAGCCGCATCACGGTAATGATGCTTGGCAAAGATGTGCTCCAGACAAGCCTGCTCAGTTCCTTGCATGCTGAACAGTCTAGGAACAGAAAACAGGGCTCTGGAAACAAAACTGGGTCTCCCACCTCCAACTCATAGCCCCTGAAACCACACATTCCAACCAACCCAACCAGCCTTGCTCCCTCCCACACGTGCCACTACTTGCCTACTCTCAGACACCTTGAATTTCATTGATTCTCACACAAGAGTGCAGACCCATCTGAATCCATTGCTGGGCAGTGGCTATTGGGATCCATTTCTAAGAAGCCCTTTATATTTATGAGACTAACAATTTTGGAAGAATGAATAGGCAAGTAGATGAGAAAAATGACAATGAACTTCATCAACTATTGTATTTGTTAAGCCCTTCCTTGAGCTAGGCTCCCTCTAACTTTCTGACAGCCCTCTGAGGTGAGGACTACTGGGACCTCTGTGGTACAGACTAAGTAACGATCCTACTCACCAGTTCAAGGTGCCAATTTTTCTTCCTCCATTTTTCTCTTTCACTTTGTAGGTCTCTTAGTTGCTCGATTTCACCTTAGGGCTTTTTTCCACCCAACAGAAACTAAATCCACTTCTAAGAAAAATAGCCTATATCTTTCAGGATGCATCTCACCACAACTACTAGAAGGTTAAAAAAGCACTGTATCAGGCATGAATTCAACCCTTTTTAAAATCTTGCTCTATCCTTCCGAAATCCAGCAGTACTCTTGTTCTTCATTTCTCTGGATATCCATTCCCATCACAAAATTGAAGAGGCACGGCATTAGGAGTTTTTCTCATCTTTGCACTACTTCCCATGATCCTTCTATCTATAACATGTGGATCGTTTGCTAACACTCATTCAGTTGACAAAGGATTTCAGGGAATATACTATAAGATAAGCATTGGGCCAGATGTCCTTGCTCCCAAGGAGATTAAAGTCTAGCAGGAAAAAAATGAATGGAAAGGTGTAAAAATTCCAACACAATTCACACAATTTCACAAATCTGAAATCTCAACATAATTGCCATTATAAACACAATTTCAGAATGCAGGTTCCAAGAGAGCAAGGAGTTTGTTCATACTACAATGTTCTGTGAACCAGAGCAATGCCTACTGACACATAGTAAGCATTCAATAAATACTTATGGAATGAATGAACATAAGCATGGCATGGTACATATAATCCAATAATAGTTCTTACACTTGCCCAAAGGTATCTGTAGGTAGTATTAGTGTAAGCATTTCCTTGTGCAGATGGCTGTGTGCAACACTCTTCAGAGGCAACCTCATTATCATTACCCCACAATTCCCACATTACCACAATATAACCCTTACTGTGCCCATTTTACAGATAAGGAAAGTAACGTGTAAAGAGGTAAGCTCCAGATTACCAAGGAGCAAACCAAATGTGTCATTCAACAGCCTGTGCTCCTTACCATTAGGTGCACACAGTGGCCAAGGAGTGCTTTCTATAAATCAAATGGAAATGAAGGGAGAGATAAGGGAAAGTTCAGAGCAGAAGAAATGTCCAAAACCTGGAGAAATAGACCAAGGAAGAGATAAAACCTTTCCCAGTTAAATATAATGGGTTTTATCAACTCTTTTTATAGTTGTGGAAATCTTCTCAACTCCTTGGTTGGGAGCACTTCAGTGGAAAGTACTAGTAACTAAACAGAACACATTTAAGTTGGACAATCCTGATATTGCTTAACTGACCTGAGCTATTCCCTCACAGCAAAGCAGAGTGAAGAGCCACAAGGAAGAACAACTTTTAACCTTACCTCTTAGTCGTCCCCCGGGGAAAGGGAAGCTGTCACTTTCAAAACACACAAGGACAAGAAATAAGTGGCTTGCTGAAGCAACTCTACAAATGCTTTATAATTCTACATCTAATCTCAAAAAGTCCAAACTTCCAATCCTATGTGTTTCTACTAACTTAAGAAAATGAGAACCAAATCCTGGCCCTTCTACTCGCTTAAATACAGGATCATGACTCACAACCTTCTCGATAGGATAAAGGAAATGCTACCCCTTTGGTTTACTCTCACAAATCAAGAATAAACTTTTAATCTTGGCAATAAATATCAAGTGAGAATCAACTATCTACAAGACATTGCACTAGAGACACTGGGCAAGCAAGGGTAATCAATACATTCTACTGGAGGCAGATAGGCAAGAAAAAACATAAAATATAAGAGCATTTCAGTGATGAGCACTGCAAAACTGAAAAAGATGATGTGCTAGAGTAAATGGGGAGGGAGGGCTAAGTCCTGAATGATGAGGAAGAGAATCTAGGAGGAGCACATCCTCAAACAGGCAGGGAAAATGGGAAAACAGCAAAAGCAAAAGCTCTGAGATGGAAATGAGCTTGATTTGGGGCAAGGAAGAACCTGTGGCCACAGCTCATTTCTGAGGGTGGAAAAGAATACATACAGGGAGACAGAGATCAAATCAGGTATGGGCTTGTAGACCACTGGCAATTTTAAGAATGCTAAGAGGAACAAAATGCCATTGGAAGCTTTTAAGCAGCAGGGCAACATACAGTGATTTGTTCTTTAAAAGGTTCACTGGAGATTTCACCAAAATAGATAGTCTGGCTGTCACTTTACCTGGGGAATGACAGAATGGGTGCCATCTGATAGAGACAGAATTCATCCACACAGCAATATCTAGCCGAGTCTCAACAATTAGTAAGCATCGATAAATGAACAGCTATTTGTACTACTAAGAATGTGCCTTCAATAAGTAAGATCACTTTTGCTGAAACTTAGTTTCCCCTTACCTTTCTTCATTCCCTCTGTGAATGAAGGTGAAAAATAAAGTACTATGCTCCTAGTTCAAAAATGTTACCACTTAAAAATAAGTCCTGAAAACAGCCAGAATTATGTTTCAGGGAGGTAGCATAAAGACTTCTGAACATTTAGAGTCTATAGCCTTGCACTGAAACCTCAGGACCACAACATACCAGAGCCCTATGTGTAGAGTCAGGGACCTCCTGATCACTTGGTTGGTCTGATGTGATGACTGATACCAGCCTGCAGGGTGATGCAAAAGCCAAGATATTAAAGACTGGTCAGCCTGTCATTAGCTAAACAACCAATACCATGAAAACACTATGTCAGTATCCAATATACCAAAGGGAGTCCACGTGAGGCTATATTTATGGCAATATCATACCAGAAATCTGGGCTAATCTGACTCTGCTATTCATAAATTCCCCCTCATGTTAAAGCACATGTGTTTGGGAAGGAAAAACGAATTCGAGTCAATTTTAGACATTGTTACTTGGAAACCATCTGGACTGCCTGGAAGCATGAGAAGTCACCGCATCCCATGCCCTCAAATGCCCACCTTAACTGGGGCAGTGTGCTTAGAGGGGAGTTTAGACGGCACTTACTCCCCAAGGAAGTCCCCACTCCCACCCTACCAGATGCCTGTTCACACTCCACTCCCCACCCAAGAAAGGTATTGGGTTTCTCAGTAAACCTAGTGGAGAACACTCCACTTGATTCAATGTGTTGAGCTTGTACTTGAATTGCACTCAGGGCTGGGCTCTTTGCTTTAGGGCTGCTTTAGAACTGCACACTTGAATTCCTTTGCCACAGCAGGGGTGTGAAATCCTTGCCCTGGGGCAGAAGCTATGAAAAATCCCCTCTACCTAACAAATCTGTGTTCAGAGAATGTCTAGCTTTGAGAAAGACCCACCAGAATCCTTATGTAACCTTAAAAGATACTGGCACCTCGCGTAGCCACTCCTGGAAATTCTGGCCCAAATATAGCCCATTTTCACCATGATGAGCGCAGGCTGGGTCGTCCAGCTTCCTGGGGCCTGGCGTCTCTGTCCCCTTCCCCACCTGGCTTTGACCCTCCGCTTATCTCATCTTCCAAAGGAGTGGGACCTCCTTTTTGCAGCCTCCCTCCCTCCGCTGAAATTAGTCTAAAGCAGCGCCAGGCCACCAGCACCTTCCTTTCCCTTCTACTCTCCCCACTACTCCCCCCCACCCCCCAAACCGGCCAGCCTCTCCCCATCGCCAAACGCTTTGAGGAACCCGGCCAGGAAAGTGATCCAGAATCTCGTACAGTACAGTCACGGTCCCTGAAAACAAACACGGCGGGAGGGGCAGGCCGAACAGGCCCAACACTTCTCCTGGACTCCGAAGCAGCCCTGAACTCGGCAAAGGGGCTGGTAAGGGAGCGATCTCCAGAGACCGACTGCGGCTCGGCTGCCTGCAGCACAATTGGAGCAAACACCTGTTTCCAGGAAGATATGAGGCCAGAGGGAGCAGGGAGTCCAGGGAAAAGGCAGGGAGGACGAGGTGAAGGGGCAGCTGGGGACGCAGGTAAAGGATGCGTCACAGACTGCGCTTGGCAACCAGGGCCCCGGAGCAGGCAGCTTCAGAAAAGAGCTCCGGGGTCTAGGAACTTCAGATAGAGGGGTCGCGCCGGCGAGCGGAGCCCAGATGGGGCCAGAGCAGGGGAAGGGATGCGAAGAGGGCAGGGAGGCCGGGCGGGCTCCATCACCTGCGCCCGGCGCGGACGCAACCTCGCAAGCGCGCACCGGCCGCGGCTTCCAGGGGGTGACCTACCTGCCCACCGTCTGGTTGGCCAGCTGACGCATGCGATTAAACTGCTTCTTCATCGTGGCCCCGCTGCCGCGCTAGCCAGGGGGCTGGGGAAGGACGGAGCAGCCCGGAGCCCGCCGCAGGGTTACATGGCTCCCGCGCGGAGCCTCCCGGGCGACGGCGGCGGCACTGCGGTGCCTCTGGGAGCCGTCTGGCCCGCGCGCGGCTCCCTCCCTAGTGCACCACCGCCTACTCCTCCAGCTGCCGCTCTGCCTCCTAGTCCATACTTCTCACACACGCCGCAGACTCCTCATAGCAATGCCTCCGGCCGCCTCGGCGCCAGCCCGGCCCCCCAGGGCTGCAGCCCCAAGCTCCAACCCCAGCCCCAGCCCCACTCGCGGACTGGGGAGTCTCTGCAGGCTTGCTGGCTGGCTGGCCAGGGGTCCCCGTGCGCCTGTGCGGAAAACGCCGTGCATCCTGGGACTTGTAGTTCTCCACTCCGTGCCCACCTTCCCTGTGTCCAAAGTTTGCAAGGACAGTGGTGAGAGAAGGCAGCGTCTTCGCCCCTGGCTTTGCACTTTAGCATTATTCTAGGAAAGAAAATATTTTCCTGTTTTAAAAAATAACAAAATGAAAAGAAGAATGCAACAGCAAATAAAACGAGTGAGCATCTGTCTCCTATTGCTTTCAAGTGGAATGTGAGGCACAACTATTCTGAATTCACGGCAGGCAGATATATGCTGGTGGGTCTTTAAATTGTATAAAGTCATCTGATTCATGTTGAGGTGCAAAGTTAAGCGTGGGGCAGGCACAGGGATTGACAGCAGATTTGGAACCAGGCAGAGCATGCGTGCCAGATGTGCTATTCTAAATTTTTGCCAAACTTGGTAAGTAAGCAGAAGCCAACATAAAAGAATCGAATCATAGCGGCTTCGTGTCTGCCAGCTCATGCTGACTGGGGCAGCTTTCTTGAATTGCTTAGATTCCAGTCTCAGCGATTTCCATTTCTCATCCACCACCAGAAGACCAAGAACATGAGCTGTGGCATCCCCAGGCTTTCTATACGACACCATTCCATTGGCATTGGTTTCCTTCTTGACAGGAGCTGTGGATTTGTTCAGTGCTATCCTTAGGAAAAGGTAGGTGATTGCAGTTAGAAGTTGTCACTGTATATCAAATAAGAGCAGTATTATGGGTGGTTGAGGCTTTGAATCAAGTAGATATCAGTTCCTGTACTATAATTCCACATACCTGTTATATAAACTTAGGAAAATTACTTAACCTCTCTATGCTTCTGTTCCCTCTTTTCAAATAGAGAAATAATGCTGTCTGATAGCAAAGAAAAAAACTGTTAAATTACCAATAACCAAGTGACATATACATCACTCTGTAGTACAATATGTCATGTTCATTTACAGCAAATGTGATGATAATTAGTATGAAAGATCTTATTCTATGATAGAATTCCTATTCTGATAAATGAAAGTACTTTTTCAACATTAGATATTTTGCATATGTTGACTATAGTCACAAGATGTCCTAAATATGGCTCTAAGTATCTTGCTGGCAAGCTGAACAAAAGATGGTTTGAGGCATGTCTTGGCTGAATGAACATGAAATTCTTAATTAATTGTGAATTTAGCCTCTGCTTATTAGGTCAGGCAGCTCCAGCCAATTAACAAGTGAAGGCATTATTTGCTTTTAACTAGCTGCATATGCTATATATAATGTTTATATAAACTGAAATTATTTTTATTTTAAAATTTCAAAAATCGTGGCAGGCATGATTTTGTTTGTTTGTTTGTTTTTGGTACAGGGGATCGAACTCGGGTCCTTGCACTTGCACAGCAGACAGCGAAACCACTGAGCTAAATCCCTGGCCAGCATGCATGACTTTTATCTGCATTAATAGTAGTGAGACACTATGCCCACTATTTGACTTTTAGCAACACTATGATAATATTTAGAGTTACATTATCCATTATAAGTAAGCTCTGACCACATGTGGCTCTTGAAATTTAAATTAATTGAAATTAAGTAAAATTTAAAATGTAGTGCCTTAGTCACAACTTATAGGCTTAATAGTCAGTCACCAGTACATTTTTGCTTCCTATCCCAGGTAATGGATAAGAGTGCAGAAAAACAAAGAGATGTTAAATATCCTCTTTCAATCTTTCTAACCAGACTTCAGAAACATATGTTGGAGAGTAGAGATTTTGAAGAAGAGTTTGAGTTGGAAGAATATGGGCTTTGGAGCTTTAATGTAGATGGTGAAGGATATACTATCCTGCTTAATCTAAAAGGTCCACAGTGTGGTGTTAAAGATGCTGACGGGTGAGATGGAAGGGAGAGAGACAGAAGGAACGTATATGATGCATGTGTAGATATCATCGTCCATAAGTTTCAATGCCTATTTCTATGGAAAGGGATCACACTGCACTTTCACACTGAGGTCAAGATCAGTCATGTGATTTTCTTTGTTCAGCAACTATCCACAGAAATGATTTGTGCCACTTCTGAGTACAAAATTTTAAGAGTCATTTTGTTAGCCAGGCATGGTGGTGTGTGCCTGTGCTTTCAGCACTCAGGATGCAAAGGCAGAAAGATACTGGGTATTTTTAAAAGGGAAAAAAATTAATACATCTAAAGAAAGGGAAAAAGAAAAACTGAAACATAAAATGTTTCAGAAATGAAGAAAAGAATTTAAACATAGATGCAAAAATATTAGAATATATTTGCAATTTTATGTTTACTTATTTTGAAATAAACTCTTTATTCTTAGGGAAATATAAATTGGTACAGGTGTTTCAAAAATAAGTAGGAAGTCTGAGTAGACCAAGAACACTGAAGAACCTTGAAAAGTTGGCAAAGATAAACAAAAGTTGAAAAACAGTAGTCAGCCCCCACCAAAACTGCTGTCAGGTCCAAAGGGTATGGGTTTCTTTGTTTGTTTGTTTGTTTGTTTGTGAGATAGGGTCTTGCTATGTAATCCAGGCTGGCCTGGAACTCATGATGATCTCCTGCCTCAGCCTCCTGAATGACTGCTGGGATTACAGATATGCACTACCATGCCTGGCTTCCAAAGGGTTTTATGGGAAGTTCTGGTCAAAGCTTCCAGAAACTGAACATTTTTCTGCTGTTTAAAGTGTTCCAAAGTACAGAAATAAAGGAAAGCATCCCAACTCATGAAATTGCCCTAACCCAGTTATCAAAACTGATGAAGACAGCACATGTGCACGCATGCACACACACCTATACATCATTATCACTTACAGGAACAAGTGTAAAAATTATTAATAAAGTTTAAATAAAAATCTAACAGAACAGTGTATGTGTTTAGATATAAATGTGCATGCATTTTAATAATACCAAGGAAATATTTGGAAATTTCAGACAATTTTTAAAAATGAAAGCCACTCATATTCACACTAACCAAGATAACTCTGAATTTATTAATAGATTTCAAAACTGGGATCACACTCTTGTTAGGTCAATGTGTTCTTTCTTGTCTTCTGTTAGTCTAAATATCTCTGTGATCAACATGTTAGTGGTTAAAACTTCACAAGTATACTTATTTACTTAAGATCCAAATTGAGTTAGAATTTCTGCATTAAAGTGTATGTTTCCAACCTTTTTGTTTCTACTGCCAAATTATCCTCTGGATAAAATATGGAAATACTTTGCAGTGTTTAAATGTGCCATTGTCCCCACACCCTGACCTACACGGGGATTAACACTTTCATAATCTTGCTGGCTAAATAGATGGGAAATGCAATATAGTGGTATTTTAATTTGCATTTGTTTTTTTCTCACATTAACATCCCCCACATTTCATGGCCATTAGTACTTTTTCTTTGCTTATTTACTTCTTTGTGTCCTCAGCTCATTTTTCTGTTGTGAGGCTCCACATTTTCTTATTGACATTGAAAAGCTCTTTAGTCACGTTAATTATAGCAGTATTATTGTATCTTGTAGTACACATTTTCTCTAGTTTGGCATTTCCATTTTAAAATCTGTAGTGTTGATTTTTATGTTCCAGGAATTTTGCCATTTTAATGTGGGCAAATCCATCCATCTTTTCTCTATATTTTATGTCTTAGGTTTAATGCTTAGAAACTACCCTTTGTCCCCAAAGATTACAAATATTCAACTATCTTTTTACCCAAAATGTTTATCTGTTCATTTCTTTTATATACAGTAAACTTTACATTCAGTTTTTGGTGCCAGGATGATAACCAAATCCAGTAGTTTGGGCTCATTACTTTCTGCAATTTTAATTTGCAATAACTCCTCAAATATAATAGATAAATTCTGTGTCACTCATGGAAATGAGTGAATCCCATTCACAATCTTGGCAAATAATGGTACAGGTGGTTTCTGAATGAAGGGAGGACTGGCCAGGCAGGTTTTTCTATATGTGGTAACCCGCTGGGGGAAATTAAATGGAGACCTACACCATTGCTAACAAATGACCTCTCTCACTATCTCAGTCACCAGATTTGGGCTAATCAAACTTCTCCAAGTGAGACTGAACAAACAGAAAAACATTCAATAGTTCAATATAATAGTGATGATGATCAATGATGATGCTAACAGTGGTGGTAATAATAAATCATATAGCCAAGAACAACTATAAGTGCCTCGATGGACATTTCCTTACTGAATTCTTAAACTCTTGGATGAGGGTTTTATTATATCCATCTCACAAAACAAAGCTCAGACAATTTAGGTGAATACTCTTGCAAGAGGCAGAACTGGATTTAAACCTACGTGGTTCTAGTTCAAATGCCTGTACTTATATACAATGTATACATGTATCAAAACATCATATGTTTTCCCATTAAATGTACAATTTTTATGTTTTTATATACTATTTAAAAGTAAATTTAATTTAAAAATTAATAATAAATGAAAAAAATTTTACATAGGTACATATGTATATATGGAGATTTATTTAATGTGTATATATGTATACACACACATACACACACACACACACACACATATATATGTGTATGTGCCTATGCTTTTGTTACAGGGTATTCCCCACATGAAATAGGTAAACTAACCTGAGAATTAAGAAAAGATGGCCTCCAGCCAAAAAATTCTACAGGAAGTAAAAGAAATATATTTTTTCATTCTACTTTGTATTCTTAGTGAGAACTGAGAGAACATTGTTTTAATATAAGAGGAGATTGTTGCCATGAAAAAGAGCCGTATTAAACAAGAAAGAGCTCTTGGATAAGAAACACATGACTTCCAAACTAATGAAACTCAACGGAGGCAGGAAATCACAGATTTTGCACTGCTCAGAATGGAATTAATGCATTAAAAGATGGGTTGGAAGAGTGCTTCCAAAATTCAAAAGGAAAAAGTAGCTCATGCAATGAAATGATGAAGAAAGGGAAGAGAGACATGGAATCTTTTTCTTCAGGACATTCCAAAAAAACATGTAATAGAATTTCCAG